TCTATCACTTTTAAGAATTTTGAATTATTAATTCATCACCCTCCAATCATATTCTATTAAATGTCTCAAATAACTATCCATAAACTCCCTTTAACCGCTGCTTATTTAATTTTTTTAATATTAAATTTATAATCCAGTAAGTCCTATGATATTTTTAATAACTTATAAAATAATGAATGAGAGAGAGTAAAGGGTGAAGAAGGTGATTGGAAGGAGAAGGGGATGGTTTGTGCATTGCATGAGGTGAGACGCTAGTATAATAAGAAGTAGGCAGAGCAGCTATAAACGCTCGCTTCACGCCCTTGAATTCTTATTCACGAATAAATACCAATAGAAATATTAGATTTTGATTTCATAGAGTCGGTGTTGCTGTTACTTGTGCGTAAAGTCGTTCCCTACTCCTGTCTCGGGATGCTAAGGGATTTTTGTTTTTGGAATAGAGGATAGTGTTTTGCTAATGCCTTGAATCAATCTTTTGTTGTGAGGTCTGGAAAAAATTATAATCAATATGATTTCTCTAATCCTCCATTCGAAGAGTATTAAGTTATTTTTCTTTTTTGCAAGGACCAAGAGAATGAATCTAATCATAAGAAGAATGCTTAGTATAAATAATTCATTTCTTGATCTTTGAGCCCCCTCAGCCACTTCGAATGCCTCCGATTAATACAATGGAATGTGTCTTTGAACNCATAAGAAGAATGCTTAGTATAAATAATTCATTTCTTGATCTTTGAGCCCCCTCAGCCACTTCGAATGCCTCCGATTAATACAATGGAATGTGTCTTTGAACAAAACTCATTTTCACTATCTCGGGACACTCACATTCTAAAAATACCCCAATGTTATTGTTCCGAGTTAGTGACAACGCCAATTTTTTTTNGTTATCAATTTTTTAAAAAAATGTTGCTAAACGGTGCCATGATCCCTTGGGGTTCAAAGTAAAATCAATCGGGAACCTATATAACATGGGTGTGGGTGCACATGTTTTGGGATAGGTTATTGGTTTTTTNATTTTTGTTTATACCAAAGAGAGTGGATCCAGTTATCAATTTTTTAAAAAAATGTTGCTAAACGGTGCCATGATCCCTTGGGGTTCAAAGTAAAATCAATCGGGAACCTATATAACATGGGTGTGGGTGCACATGTTTTGGGATAGGTTATTGGTTTTTTGATTTTTTTTTGTTTCTCTCCTTGTGTGTGTTGGGTTGGGTTGGGGGGAGGGGGCGAAGGGGCAGGTGTGGCTGTTAGTTTGAAATCTCTATTGATGGATATTTATATATATGTATTCATATTTCCCTTAATTTTTTTGGCCAAAACATCATTGCAGAATTGCGGACTTGAAAGTTTTGATATTTTGATTTGTCCAAGTTTTTGTTTTATTCTCTGAACTTTCATTTTGATTGCTTTCTTTTTTGGTGACTTGTGATGATAGTGAAGAAATTTACATAATATGTTGTGAGGTGGAACTATCAAGTTGTTTCCAGAAAAGATGAAAGGACTACAGCTGCAAATAGTTATGAATACTGTTTGCCCATGGAGCATTCCCATTCTCAGTATTGAGTCTTGGTGACAGGTGATCAAGGCAATGAGAATGAAAGGTGGAGATGAGGCTGTATGTCAAGCACTTAGCCGTGCCCAGGAGCTTTACAGAAACAAATTGCAAGCTAGTGCTGCTGCTGCTGATGAGCTAGCTTCTTTGTTTGCTGAGTGTGCAATTGCTGAGGCCCTGCCTTCTAAATGTGAATCGTATCAGTACAGCATGGCTGTCCCATCTATTGAACCTGATGATCATGGAACTTCTATACTTGCAGAGACCGGCAGGAAGCAAATTGTGCTGGATGCATTCTCTGATGGAAGCAGCTTTATCTGTTTACAGTGTGGGGGTCTGGTTAGCAATCATCGAAAAGAGGAACACTATACATTCTGGTGTTGCAAAATCTGATCACTCCAGGTGCGTGAATGGAAATATCATCTTCTTGGATGCAGTCCTCTGCACTCACGACGCATGATTGGCATTGTTCATAATAAAGACATACTTTTTACGGTCCTTGACTGCCCATGCTTTAGGAGCAAAGTTTTGAATGCCTATTACAGGAGGTAAATTTCAAGCATCAGACCAAGTGATTATGGAGAAACATGTATCATTTTATTGAACTGAATTGGCGTTGTAGAAGAATCTTGGCAATAACTTGAGGACCGGTGGTGGTCTACACTGGTGTATGGACATATATAATGTCAGTCATGATATCTCCAATCTCAATGTTTTATTTTAGTGTCGTTTAGATTTTCATGTCTGTATCCAGTAGTCCAAATTTCCCCAGGACTAATGACTCCTCTTATTGCTTCAGGATGTCAATAAACTAGCAAACCTAACCTCTCCAGTCTGTCCAGTATAGTGATGAACTTGGGGAAGAATATTTGGGATTTTGGATTTTGATTTTACATTCGAATAATGACCACCTGCTGCATTTTGATTTGCTTAAATAAACTGAATTTTTATTTATGGAATTAGTCTTCAGATTTAACCACAGCACCCAGTACTCGGGCCTCGTTANTGATTTTACATTCGAATAATGACCACCTGCTGCATTTTGATTTGCTTAAATAAACTGCATTTTTATTTATGGAATTAGTCTTCAGATTTAACCACAGCACCCAGTACTCGGGCCTCGTTATGTTGGTGGTTGGTGTAACCCTATCATCCCTTCCCATGTTTGTGGTACACAAAAGAAAGAGGGGGAAGAGTCTGAGCATGAGAATTGGCTTCTGCAAAAGCAGAGAGAGAGAGAGAGAGAGAGAGAGAGACAGAGAGAGTTTCATGGGACTAAATTTCCCTTGTTTTTGTGAAACAAAATGCTATAAAGTCATGTTTTTACATCATGATCAAACACCCTATGTTATAAAAGAATATGATATGCAGAGTTTAATTGTTTTCAACCAAATCAACATTGTGGTTACACACACACACACACACCCACCCACCCCCTAAACACTAGGAAAAATTAGCTAAAATACACAAGAAATATGAAAACAATTCGAACAAACCATTCTACACGATATGGTGGCTTGATGGAGCATTTTGTTCTGAAGAAGAAATTGCTATTGACAAAAAAGTATTACCACGGCTGCTGAGGCGGAAAAATTACCATCACCACGGCATCAAAAACTTCACCACGGAATCATCCAACTGCGTTCTTTTGTTTACTTAGGTGACCCACCGTAGCATCAACAAAGCTTTACAAGATGCTCCGATTAGTAACCATAGCTACAGAATTCAAAGAGATTGCAAAACTACTTTTTCCCAAATCTACTTCATGTCTTCATCCAACATAGCTATAAGCAGAGATCCCCAACTGCCACTTATACTGCACTCTGCATCATAAAAAGATATATATCCCTTTACAATATGAGATATATATATATATATATATATATATATATATATATATCTGGGAAGACAAATCAACCAAAAAATACGAATGAAACAAAATAAAAACATTCTTAATTTCTTCAGTGATATTAACCTCTAAGCTGGAAAACTTCATCGAGTGATTTAATGATGCCAATATAATAGATTTTGGTTATCCAGTAAGTCTATGAATTAGCATGACTATCATTTCATAGGAAAACAGTGTGTTTCTGCTGATCATCTTCTAAGGCAAGCTACATTTACCATGACTCCACTAAAAAACAAGAGTTTACTCTCGTTGCTTCATTGGTTTAGATTGATTTGTGCTCTAAAGTAAGGCCAAATGACAGAAGGTAGCAAAACCACAGATGTGAATTTGTGGCTTATCAACTGTTAATTTTACTAGTATGTGTCGGTAAGTACAGGAAATGTAAAAATGAGACGAAAAATTTAAAACTAAAGATTTTAATTAGATTTTACCTGCACTTATTTCTGTTCTCTTCCCTGTGCCATGCGCTGGGGCTGAATGAGAGCCAAAAAATGAATATACAACAGCGACTTATAAGCTAATGTCTATTATATACAACATTTGGCAGAGCTGGGGGACGAGACTTTGACCTCATGATTGTTTCATCACTATGCCTAATCAATTCTGAAAGTCTCCAAGGTTTTTGCCACTTCCATTTAAACTGTAGTAGCCACTGATGATGACTCCTCTTCCACCGCCACAGCTTCCCACCTTGCCCTACAATTGCTAATTTCTTCATTGACAACTGGCCCATCGGTACCATCTGAATATCAGGGAATTCTCCATCAGCCAGACAAAAGAATACATACAAACATCAAAGAAATAAGGAGCAGGAAACCAACCTTTCGTGTCTGATCTATAAAAGCTGCCGACTCCCTGACTGAACCATTAGCAATGCCCGCTGTATACTTGAGCTGTTTCTGTGCTGGCACAGAGATTGGAGACAAGGGACTGCTCAGGTCATCAGCTAAATGTTTCAATGAGTTGTGAGAGTTCTCCTGTTCACTGTCGGCCTGAAGATTCAAAATATAAATGAATTTTGAACAAATAAAGTAAGAAATAAGATGAAAATGTAGAAAACTAAGTCCGGTTAAGGAGACATTAAGGTTTGTACAACATCATTGTGGACCTGTTCAAAGAACCTTGTATACACACACACACACGGCCATTTCATAAACCATTGGCAAGTCAGTAGCCCCAAGAGTTGCCTTAGAAGTCACACGATCAATTTCCATGAGACCAACTTCCATGAAGAAAGTTGTCCCAAGGACAAAAGAATAAAACTTCAAATGCAAGTATGGATAGTCCTACCGAAGCTGATGTAGCCAATGCACTTGCAGCTGCTTGCTCTCTCAGTTTTAGCTCCTTCTCAACTTCTTTTCTTCTTGCTTCACTCTGTCGTAGTAGACTCACAAGTTCCTTCAGTTGCTCTTCCATTTCCTTGATTTCAATTTCCTTTTCCCACGATTGGCATCTGTCAACAGCACACAAATTGATACTTCATAATTAACAAAACATAAGTATTCCCAGCATAATTCGAAATGCAAAAACATTTTCGTTGCTAAAGGGTAACGCGGATATTAGAGTAATTATGTCCACTTGAAAATAAGTATTCCATCCTTCCTAATAGGAATCTCAACAATAGCATCCTAAATCATGGACATTGTCGACCAAATTTTGCTTGCAATTCCCCCCCTTCTAGGAGCAGCTCCTGTATAATTAATTTTTCCATTCTCTCTAATCCAGCCCCTATTATTACATACTATCCCTGAACTGTGTATATGTATAAACATAAGCAGACAACTTTCAAGGTCCGGCTCTTGGACAATGATAAGGTGTGCATGATAAGGAATACGATATTTTTATCCTTCCGACCTTCCCCCGAAAGAAAAAAAAATCTAGTACATGCAAATGACCATCACGTGCAGAGACTTCTGTGAGGTGGACCATACTAGGAAGAGGCAAAGATGAGGCCATTCAAAGTCCAACTGGCCAAGGAAAGCACCTTGCATCTGCAAGAGAATTGAACATATATTGAAGCAAGTTCTTTGCATCTCCCATTGAACGTAGCTGGTTCCAACGTCCACGGCTAGTGAAGGCACGCTCCCGTTCTTCTGCCTCTGAGAGCTGTGAAGCCATTGCTACAAGTGAATTGGATGAAATGCTTAACATGCTCTCAAGAGAAGCTATCCGTGCCATTCTTGCATTTGGTGACATGGAAGATGCCCTGAACATGGAAGAACACATAGGGAAGACGCTCAAAGAAAAATAGTTGAAGCAACACAAAGTGTACCTCATGCAAACCGGACAAGAGAAAGAAATGGAGTCTGGCGAAAAAAAAGTCATTCACTATGACACAATTTATACCTGGAAAAACCATTTTTTCCTCTTGGAGGGGTGTGTCCCTTCGAAGCAAATTCATCAACTTGTCTTAAAACAGCTAACTCTTCAGCCAGTGCAGCCCTTCTGGAGATAGACAACTAACAACTTGAAAATCACACCAGAACAAATCAACAAGAATTTATGTACTAAAATCAGATGAATACATACACTTGACTTTGCTTCTCATACTCGTGACGAACTTCATGAACATTCACCATAACTTCTAGCTCGTGATCAAGCCAACGTTGTAAGGATTTGTCATTGCTCTGTAAATGAAGGTTAGATTAACATGGTTTAAGTCATGTAGCTAGGGAAATAGGCATATTCTGTGAAGAGAAAGCCGAGACGATTACCTGCCCATTTGTTCCATTTCCATTGCTAACCACTGCAAAAGATGAGAGAATTCAGATATGAGCAGTAAATAGAGAAGACATCACCATCCGCATGGAACTATAGAAATAGGTCATTTTTCTTTAATGGGCTTATATTTTTGAGATTTTGAATTGCATACCTCGTTAAAGGAAGATGTAGTTTTCATAAAGCAAGAAGGAAGCACAAATCAGCTGACTGTGAAAGACATTATACACGAGTCATGGAAAATGTATACCTGAATTGTCACGAGCTGAAGACTTGCGCGCCTCTAGCAACTCTTTTAGCCTTTTGGTTGCCATTGCAGCTTCTTCTGTCTTTCGCTGAAGAACCTGAAACGATATTTAATGTACAGCGGCAATCAATGCAATTTTTTATATACTGCAACTGCAAGAATCAACAATGTGTCTGAGTTTTGGTATTAGAACACGAAAATCATGGCCATTCGTAAGTAAAAGGTNACTGGCCAAGGAAAGCACCTTGCATCTGCAAGAGAATTGAACATATATTGAAGCAAGTTCTTTGCATCTCCCATTGAACGTAGCTGGTTCCAACGTCCACGGCTAGTGAAGGCACGCTCCCGTTCTTCTGCCTCTGAGAGCTGTGAAGCCATTGCTACAAGTGAATTGGATGAAATGCTTAACATGCTCTCAAGAGAAGCTATCCGTGCCATTCTTGCATTTGGTGACATGGAAGATGCCCTGAACATGGAAGAACACATAGGGAAGACGCTCAAAGAAAAATAGTTGAAGCAACACAAAGTGTACCTCATGCAAACCGGACAAGAGAAAGAAATGGAGTCTGGCGAAAAAAAAGTCATTCACTATGACACAATTTATACCTGGAAAAACCATTTTTTCCTCTTGGAGGGGTGTGTCCCTTCGAAGCAAATTCATCAACTTGTCTTAAAACAGCTAACTCTTCAGCCAGTGCAGCCCTTCTGGAGATAGACAACTAACAACTTGAAAATCACACCAGAACAAATCAACAAGAATTTATGTACTAAAATCAGATGAATACATACACTTGACTTTGCTTCTCATACTCGTGACGAACTTCATGAACATTCACCATAACTTCTAGCTCGTGATCAAGCCAACGTTGTAAGGATTTGTCATTGCTCTGTAAATGAAGGTTAGATTAACATGGTTTAAGTCATGTAGCTAGGGAAATAGGCATATTCTGTGAAGAGAAAGCCGAGACGATTACCTGCCCATTTGTTCCATTTCCATTGCTAACCACTGCAAAAGATGAGAGAATTCAGATATGAGCAGTAAATAGAGAAGACATCACCATCCGCATGGAACTATAGAAATAGGTCATTTTTCTTTAATGGGCTTATATTTTTGAGATTTTGAATTGCATACCTCGTTAAAGGAAGATGTAGTTTTCATAAAGCAAGAAGGAAGCACAAATCAGCTGACTGTGAAAGACATTATACACGAGTCATGGAAAATGTATACCTGAATTGTCACGAGCTGAAGACTTGCGCGCCTCTAGCAACTCTTTTAGCCTTTTGGTTGCCATTGCAGCTTCTTCTGTCTTTCGCTGAAGAACCTGAAACGATATTTAATGTACAGCGGCAATCAATGCAATTTTTTATATACTGCAACTGCAAGAATCAACAATGTGTCTGAGTTTTGGTATTAGAACACGAAAATCATGGCCATTCGTAAGTAAAAGGTTGAATGCAGCCACATCATTATATTATCCATCGGAAATTTAGGGATTTTTTTTTTTGCAAATAAATAAAGTTTTATGATCCCAACACCAGAATTCAAAAAATCGAACAGTAACAAATATCCACACTATCTCATAAATCATGGACCCTAAACCTTGAATTCTCAACAATTCTATGAATTTTTACTGAAGCATTTCTAAATTGGACAGCAACATGAATGCCAGACAAGCTTTCCCAGCTTACGCTCTAAAAGAGAAAAGAAAGGGTTTATGGGTGTGTATTGTGTGATAAACAGCCTGAAGTAAAATATGGCTTCATGAGAAATCCACCTTAGGAAAAGTAGTACTGCTGAACAAAATTTTAGCTTACGTAACTAAACCCCAAAAGAAAAAGGCCCAGATTCTGTGTTAGGATGGGCATGCAGAACTTTACACATCAAAACTCATTTTGGCACTTGGTGTGAAATTATTTTTAGAGCATTTCTAGCAGGTGAAGTAACATGAATAGTTACACAAACAAGTAATTCTCACCATCTTCTGGCGCTGATTCAAAGCTTGCAGTTTATGCCTTTCATACTCATTCCTTCTCCCCTCCTTTCGTAACTGTGATTCAATAACATCCTCAATAAATGAAGTAGATGATACCAACTACAATATCTGTCGGAGGGGGTGAATAAAATACATATCCTACCAGTAATTCATTTAAAAGAAATTAAATAAACAAAAGATTTGCATTTACTAACTATACATACATATAAATATACATATATACATCTACGTTTATAAATTTCCATTATCTCATATAAGATAGCTCATCAATGATATGTGAAACAAACATCCCTCATATTCCATTATTTGAGAAAACCCTGTCTTAGTAAAATAGCCTGCCAGGAAATCACTTTCCTTTCATATGCACACATTTTTAAAAATAAATCTACCCAATAAAAGAAGCAAAACATCAAAAAGTAATTGCCAACATTAAAGATCTATTTAGTTGGATAAAATGCCAGAGTATGCATTGCTTCATAAAAAAAATGGGGAACATCCAACTTAATTTGTCTGTGTTCACAGGTGTAGATCTCTTTATGGATCCTCTTAATGTGTACAGCCACAGCTACCTATGCAGGAACTTGTCTACCTAGTACTATGCAAGGAAGAAACTTCAATTGATCAACAGCATGATGCCTGCACAATGAGCTATGTTCAAGGAAAGATCTTGATAGCAAATCAAGGAGAATCATTAAAAAGGCAGGGGTTACCACAGATCCTGCCTTTGCATAAATTGATATACGCGAAGAAGATTTTATTCTAGCTAATGACTAGAATCTAGAATGACAAGATCCAAGCCTAAGAAATTCCCACTCTGGCTCAGTATGAGCAACACTACAATTTTAACCTATTAAGAGGGGTGTAACTCATTTATTTCACCAATATAGACAAATGTACTTATCAGCCTGGGGCAGGAAGTCTAGCTCATGCAGATCAAAGTAAATTTTTATGGAAGCAAAGGGAGAGTCTAATCACATAAATGGAATAGAAACGATAAGAAAATAAGCACACATACAACTGGTTAATGCATTGATGTTGCAAATGACTACTTTTGTACAATAAAGAAGTGAGGCGTACTTAAAATGGTTTTCACTTCTTTACATGTAGTGAAGTTTCAAAAGCAAAAATGTTGATGGAGCAAAATCCCAAAACATGACAACAAGAACAATGACAAGTACCTGCAACAATTCCTTCTCTCGAGATGCCTTCCATTGCCGAAATTGTTCAGCCTCTTGTTTTATTTTTTGTTGCAATTGAACCTGAATTTAAACATAAAGGAAAAAAAAAATTAGAAGCACATACGCCAAAAATAGGTTCAAGGGTGAAAAATGAAAGAAGCCAAGATGAGATTCAACCTTTTGTGACTTGATGAATTGTATTTCATCTTGTAAGCGTCTAGCTGCTTCATCACTCTTGTGTTTTTGCTTTAAAAGCTGAACCTGATTCTCTTGTTTCTTCTTAAGGTCTTGTATCTGAAGTTATATAAAATTCATTTTAGTTAGAACAAAATCATGACAGAAAGCCAATTTTATCAAATAGAAAAAGGAAACACATCATGATAAACAAAATGATAACCTGTGCCTCCAAGGCCTTTAATTTCTGGGCATGCATATCTTGCATTTTTTGTGTTTGCCCATCAGAAGTAGCAGCAAGGTTTTCAACTTCAGCCAACAAACGATCCCTCTCGTGCTGCAGTTATAGCATAGATGTACAATTGAACATCAGTATCCAAAGGCACAAATATGAAGAAAAAAAAAATACAAGGAACTTCTGTAGTTTCATTTAACCTGCACAGTTCTCTTCTCGTCCTCAAGTTCCACAATCTTCTTCCCAAAGTGTTGCTTCAGAGCCATGGTGTCTGAGCCTCCAAAAATTTTCATTTCTGACTGCATAGACATTCATGTAAAGACACAAATTGAGAGAAAGAAGGCATAATATGTATTCGGTTTCGAACCTATTAAGGTCTGCTAAACAAATTATCACTGTCTACTATTAAAGAATATTATTTAATAAAAGAAACAGAGATATTCTTTTCATTCTTAACTACCATATGTGCAGACCCTTGGGGAGAATTCATAAAAAAATGAATGAAAACGTTCTAAACGTAGTGACGCAGAGATGACACAAAGGACAAGTTTTACGCTAGATTTGCAAACATGAATCCATGCAGCAAACAAACGATGACACTATTTATAAAGGCCTTAACATAATAAAAAGGTTACTGCCTGGGTTCTAAAGTGTGAAGAGGTCAGCTTGTCTGAGTGCAACCTCTCTATGCAAATAAACATCTAGTCTTCCCCTCTCAGCACCCAGCATTCCCTAGAGTACTACTAGGTGATGACCTTTCTTCAGAGTTAGTACCCAGTGGATTGTGATTCCAAAGAAATCAATCACTTTTGTGGCTGTGCAACCTTAGTCGCAAAACTATATCTGAAATACTGCACATGACGGAGAATATTTCATACCACACCACGTTTTACTTATAAGATACAGCATCCATTTGGACATCTTGCTGATGGGTAAATCAAAATCTACTTAAAAACTGATACTCTACCTCCTTCTGCTCTAAGCGTCTATTTAACTCGGTTAATTCTTTGTCCATAGAATCTTGAAGAAGGGTATGCTCCCACTCTTTCTCTGTTTCTTCGTCAATGTCCCCAGAATCACCTGTAAAAATGAGCAATTGTATCCCAAGGAATCAGTGGACCACCCAAGAAATCTAAGTTTTTATTCAGTGATAGATAATCAAGTAAACAACAGAAGTCCAGCTTTCATACATTGGTGATTTATAGTTAAAGATAATTCAAGCGAGTTGAAAACAACAAAGGCGTAATACCATTTTCACTCATTTGGTAATCAGAAGAATCCATGCTTTGCAAGCCCCTTTTAAGCCCTTCACTTTTCACAGAATAGCTGTGACCAACCTGGAAAAGTAAGTTGCAGGATTACAAATGCAGCCAATCCAACTAAAAACATTCTTATGACAATCAAACCACTTTTTGAGAAAAATTAGTATGGAGAATAAAATAAGAAACTTGGTACTGTATGAGTCAATATCTGTAATATACTTCAGCATCGGTTTCACGTCGCTCCATGGCAGGGCATTTGCTGCGGTATTCATGAAGCTCCCGACATAGATCCTCATTAGCAGCTTCAAGACAAGCAATCCTATTCTTAAGAACCTACAACAAGGATATATGATAAAACACTTTTCTTTCAGCAAGTAATCTAATACAATGCTATCCACGACTGAGTAGTTTTGATCTAGTAATCAACAGAGAAATTAACTCCTAGAATCCAAGCACCTGTACTTCACCAGAGGAAGCTCCACCCCCACGGGCACAAAGTTCAGCCTGTAAATAGTCTAGTTGTTGGCGCATCTTCAACATCTCATTAGATATTGGATCTCTGTTAACCTAGTGAACAATTGAACCAAAATCTACTTATATAATATCACACCTTTCAAAAAAATAAATAATCACTACCTACATCTTCTAAAATTAAAGAAAGAAAAAAAACTACATAAACTTACAACAGGCTTATTCTGGATATTGCGAGCGCGATTTGCATACTTCAGAGTATTAAGAGTTTCCTCAGCATTTATATCGGCAGGACTGATGCAGGCTGGAAAAGAAGTAAGTTCGAATGTAAACATGAACATGAGAGAGTTCCATCTAATTATCACTACAAAACATGCAAATACTATTTCTAAGCCAGGAAGAAAATAAGAAAAAAAATATCACTGAAGAAAAGCTGAAAAGACAATAGATGATACTTCATCACCTATCAGTCTAGCATGAGACTTTCTGCAAAAGCAGGCCAAAGAGGTATTTGGAAAGCGTGCTTGTATGGAGAGTCGAAGACAAAAGAATTGACAGAAGAAAAGCTTAAAATTAAGAGTTGGGTAATGATAACATGTGAAAGAACAATGCCAATATGTGACAAAGTGGATATCATGTATTTTCATTTTGGGACAATTCCTGAAGAAAATAACAACGTGCTAAAAAGATACACCTTGGAAGTAAAAATGAAAAGAGCAAATAAATTTATCACTATACATTGGAATTTCTGATCTCATCATGGCCTTGGGGTTGCCATGCCATTGACAACTACAGGAAGAGAAAGAAGAATAAATAGAAACAGACACCGGGACAATGATCTTCAAATGCACAAAAAAAGTAAAATAAAAGTTTACTACATTGTGTATTTTCTGAGAAATACTGTGTTTAAAAAAATAAATGCACAGTACAATTCCATTATCAACGACTTATTGTTCATATATATTTCACTAGATTAATTGTTACAATGACAAAGGACCAATTTGACTACCTTTCCCATTAACCTATTCAGCATTTTGCAGGGAATTGAGGGAACATAATATGACTATGAAGAGCATTATCTGTTTAGTAGAAAAAAATGATCCATATTTTTGGCCACATATGATGCTGATAATACCCTTTATGTTAGGCATACTGTGGAAATAGTCAAACACATAAAAAATTAGAGGGCTTTGTGCAAGACGCCATGTGATTTTTTAACACCATCGCCAATAGCACCATCACACACTACAAGTATTCAGAAACAGAAAACTGACCAAGAAAAAAATTACCTATCATAAAGGTTCTGCTGTTACCACCAAGCGAGTCCTGCCAATGTACAAAAAAGTTAAAGAGACTAAACATGAATAAGCAAAGCAAACAAGAAATTAAAAGGAAGAATGAGAAGGAAAACCAGTATAGGTATCTAAAAACTTCCTCAAATTGTGACAGCTATTATCCCATTAGTTCATTGACCAACTAATATCATAGCCAAAGCCTTCCAACCAACAACTTTCAGATAGTGTACGGGGCAGAACACCTTGAACTACTTTCTACAAACCAAAAGGTTTCCTAGAGACTAATTTATAATGCATTGTATCTTCACTATGACAATTTTATGTGTCAAATTGCCATTGCTTTTCAACAAGGTCAAAATGAATTGTAAAAGCATTGTATATGTTTGCAAATAAACATCGACAATGTCACTCAACATTGAAATTACTTATCGCCTCGGCAAGGTAGACATTAATATTTCACAATTACACATGCTGAACAAGCTATTTTGATATCCGTAACCATAAAATCATGTCAAACCTGCAAAAGCCGAGTAAGTTTACTGTCCCGATATGGAACATGGACACCTTCTTTCCGCTTTTTCTCGTCACCAAGTGCGCTGATAACATTACCAAGTGCAAGAAGGCCCTTATTTATGTGAACTCCTGTCAGAAGAAAACCGTGTCATGCCATTCCCTTACGATTATAGCCACCTTTCTGTTCATTGCTCTCAATGTCCCCATTAGTAGACTTATGAAATTGGAAAAGAATTCCAGATGTTCCACTTACCTTCCTTAAAACGCAGACCATCAGAGCCTGTTCTTTTGGCTCGCTCTGATCCAGCAAGATCCACCAAATGCAACTTGGCACAGAGATATTCTTCACTCATATAGTCATTAAGACCGCCATCACCAGGACTAGCTGGATTAAGCTTATGCATTTGCTCCATTGTGATGGTGAAAATGGCATGTGAACGACTACATAAACAAATAAATAGCAGAAGAAAAATGTAATTTTAGCCGGCAATAACTTTGGGCAACTTTTTAACAGTACGAATTCAGTTTTGAAATTAGTTTTTCCAAACCCAGCTTACGAATTGAGTTGCAACTTCTCTTTTTAGCAATCAAATCTTGTCATATCAAAATACACTTCCCTAAGCATACCATTCCATAAGTTACTTAATCTCATCAAGTAAAGTTTCACTTTTTCCTATGGTGACAACCATGACACAAGGCAATAAGTTGAATCATTTAATTGTCTATGTTTAATAAATGATAAGTTGAAAGATGCTTCTTTGTAATATGGTAATAAATAAAAAATCATACCAGCAACAGTATCAATATTTCAGGTTAGAAGAAAACAAACTACATAAGAGCAAGAACAACCTTGACTGGTTGTTCATATTTGTACTCCCTGTTGCCCTGCTTAATGATCCTTGCTCCAGGCAATCAGCCATTTCTCTAAGTGTTTTGACGCTACGTTCAGTAGACCCTGCAAGTGTAATAACACCATTTGATGTCTCACGGATTTGTATGGGGGGTTTCCCTGGGACAGCTACTTTCCCTGCATGCCCATTTGCTGTGTCTGATTTGTTCACAGAATCGGGATCCAGCAAGTCTCGTACTTCTTCTTTAAGTATCTTCACATGAGAAACTTTAGTCACACACTTGCTATAGGGGATTATAGATACCGTAGTGTATCCACCAAACATCACAGAGATACAATCGCAAACAAAATTTTCACTCTAAGTTTGAAATTTTCATACTATTTAAATAAAGGTTTTTGACAGTGCAAAAATAACAAAGTGGGGTCACTAATTTACTGGTTAAAAATTGGCCCAGGTTAGATTTCATAAATACATCTCCTTTTCCACCATTTATGAGCCATGATGCAGATGCTGCATTAAATTATAGCTAAGAACATGCAAAATTGATCCATATTCTTCACGTTTCAGACATATCTGATTCATCTGATCCCCAAGGACTGGTACTTTTTCTGCTTCAATAATGATCTAAGTGAAATGCCTAAAGCCTCAAGAGATATACTATCACTATAGTAAAAAGTTATCACAGTGCATGAATCGAGATATAGCCACACAAATACGAACCTCAATGAACGAAACATGTAATTGGAAATCAGTTTGATGCTTCAAAGAGTCAATCTGGCTGAACAAAGCATCCATAACTTGGGGAACTAATCCAGTTTGGCAACCATCTTTAAAGCCAGTACCCATGGTATATGTTTTGCCCGAGCCCGTCTGCAACACATTGAAACATCAAATACAACAAATTATAATGACAATATGACTGCATTTCATAATTCACTTTTTCTACCTGACCATAAGCGAGAACGGTGGCATTATATCCTTGGAACAAACCATCAACAAGGGGAGCAACACACTCTTCAAACATGGCAGAGGAGGCAGAGCCAGTGCTTCCATAAACATGATCAAAAGTAAATGAATGTGTGCCAAGTTGCACCTGCAAAAAGACACAGCCAGCATGAAATGAACACTACCCAACTTGAAAGGATACTGAAATGTTTTAGTTCACTCAACTCAACAAAACTTTGTCCCAATATTTTTGGGGTCAACTCAACTCAACAGTTTTGGTTCACTGGTAACCAAAATGGATCAGTGGTTGAACATTGAAACTCCCATGTTTTGGGATGTTTCAGAATGGTTTAGCCAATGTTTCGAAATCAAAATTCCAATTTTTATCCTTTCCAATAAGTTTCTGTCTCCGAACGGACCAAAACTACATCGAAATAAATTTTGATCCTCGGTTAAATCCACCCGAAAAATTAAAAAGGGGAGTTGAATGAAAGATACATCTACCATGGTAGAAGAAACCATCTCATATTTGGTAAATCTGAATGATCGTGGAGAGTTTAAAGTTTAGAAGCATAACACAAATGTTGTGCAATTATAACAATGCAGGCGTCAAGACAATATGCAAGTACCAAGAGTGGGAATAGACTAGATTAGGCAAGCCACTTTCAAGACAATACGCAAGTACCAAGGGTTGATATTGTTGTTTCACTTTGGGTTGGATTACTTGCCACCTATCATTTCCCTTATGTAGTCCTTTATTGGTAATAAAATTGCTTTGTTTCTTGCAAAAAAAAAATATGTTTTTTCCACTTTAGTGTCATTGTTGAAATACTCATACAAACAGTTTTGGTCAAGAAACCAGTTTTTCTTCAACCAATCTCATCCCTATTATAATCTTTCTTTACTTGTGGTGCAATGTTGTTCTCAAAATCTACTGAGGTAGCAAAAATAGCCCACATAACACAATTTTTCAAGAAGTAGTAGCCACTTCGTTGTTCTGACAAAAAATTATGTATGCTACATGATGTCTTCCAGCAGATGCTAATGCTCCTAGGGACGATTGACTGATGCAGCACTAAAAGTATTCAGATAACAACCATGATATTGTCGGTTCAAATCTGAGGGCAATCGATATGCCTAAATATCAAAGGTCATGTCTGTGCTAAGCAACTCCTCCAGCACCCATAATAAATGGGCCAAACTGATAATGCTCCAAACCGCAAAAGCCAAAACATATGCAATTGCATCACTTGGCCTTCAGTGCACAAAAACATGATTATTTATACCTTACGCCAAGGACCGAAGGATGTGTGCCTTTGCCACACTTTTGGTATAAAAACAGCAAATGAATCATAAATTCAAAGTCTGTTCCAATATGGACCCCAATGATAGAAAGAGACAGAGTGTAGCTGAGTCTAAAAATACTGATGAGAAAGTAAAGCAGATCAGATGAGTTTGAACTCGGAGGATTTCCTTGAACATGAAATCATAAAGCTTTCATAGAAAAGTTGTTAAAGAAAAAAAATGGAGAAAATCAAATTATTGGATTGTTGTTCTTATTTTTGGTCGTGAAGAGATGATCAGTAAGTTTTCCTTAGTATCACTAGAACAGAACTTCTTGGGTTTTGACATAGTTGTGACAATTAGGTTTTAGGAGTAGGCGACTCAGAAACTACCTATAATCAGCAAAATCCAAGATTTCTAGTTGCTTAAGAGTGGACAAGCTTTTGGACCATAAATGCAAATTGATATAGCATTATCTAGTACTATCGCAAAGTCAATTTAGTTGCATACTAGGAACATCTTACAGTTACATAGGAATCTGGTTTTGTAGTTTCCAGGTCATCAAAGATGACTGACACCCCATAGACTGCAAAGAGTTGGACCCTTAGGAAGCCAATCAAGTATCACCCTTTGTTTCCGTTTTTTTTTTTTGCCAGGTAGTACTGTTGGTCCAGATGTTGGGAATCAAATGGGGAAAAACTATTGAAGAGAACTATAAACAAGAACAAAAAAGCCGAAAAACATGTATTCTTCACACACATAAGTTGTTCAACTAAAACTGAACAACTTACCGAAAAAAAAAAAAAATTTGTTCAACTGAAATTGCAAATGGAACACAAATTTTTTTTTTCTTCATAAATACAATTATTTTACCAGGCATGATTCTGAATTAGGCATATGCTTTGCCAGGTCAGGGTACTTATAAACCATTTTCATAAGGTAGCTGAAATCTATGAATTTGAATATCAAATCCTAGTTGTCAAGTAAAGAATCTAATGACAGCCCATGTCCAGAACTTCCCAATGCACCAAGCAACTACAGTCCCATTCCTCAATCAAGCACCAGAGCATGGACCTATCTGATGCTTTAAGCCAACACAGATATATTTACAAACTAATGCAATAAAATTCTCGAAATTCATCATTGTAAAAGAGAAATTGATGACCTCAACAGCAATTTAAGGTTAATTTATATTTATAATTTCCTAAATTCAGACAACCCAATTCAGAAAAATCATACAACAAGTATACATCAGCTTAAAAATTCGATCATGACCTCTACCTATACTCAAACATGCATGATTGTTTAGGTTTCCCAATAAAATAATTAAATCCTTGAGGTCACCGTAATCCTATTGAGATCTAGATCTCCAAGAAATCATCACGTACTGCAACAAAAAGATTATCTTCAAACATCCCATTACTAAGATTAATACCAAAAACTGCTAAATTACAGCAATTCATTGTCATAGTACAGTACTGAACCATCACATTACGAGTGTGACTGTACCTGAGGCTTCCCAGGGACCACGGTGATACAATCTTTACAACCCAGAAGCCGCTCATCGCCGATAAGTGGTCTGATATGAACTGCAACTTTCACACAGCAATCCTCACTTGCCGCTGCTTCCATTGGAAGCAGTTAGGGTCAGATAGGGAAAGAAAGAACCAAAAAAAAAAAAGTTATATATATATACAGAGAAAGAAAGATCCAAATTATAGAGAGAGAGAGAGAGAGAGACGCAAAGTGGGTATCGAAAACCAGTTAGTGAGAGAGAGTGATCAATATTTTCACAGAATTGGAGACATTAATGACCAGAAAGTGATGCGGCAACAACAGAGAAACCAAGAAGAGGAAACCAGAAAGATAGTTGGTCTTTCACACAATGGAGGAGAGAGAGAGAGAGAGAGAGAGCCTCACTAAAGAAGATCAATATTTTCACAGAATTGGAGACATTAAAGACCAGAAAGAGATGCAGCAACAACAGAGAAGCCAAGAAGAGCAAAACCAAACAAGAGAGAGAGAGTTGGGTCTTTCACACAAAGTAGAGAGAGGGAGAGAGAGAAAAGAGAAGCTATAGAGAGAGAAAATAAATAGTTGAGGGAAGAGAAAGCTGGGGGAGTCTGTTTTAATGTGTAACTGCAACGACAACCACCACCACTACGATCATTGTCACTTGGGCTTGACTCTTTTTCTTCACTGAGAGAGTTCACCAGCCCAGACGGTTCCGTTCAGTGTGGACATCAATACTTTGGTCACACTCTTCCCCCATTTTGCTCCCACACCCCCCCAACGGCTTTTGAGAAAAAACAGCTGTTCCGGTATAGGTCGTTATTACAGTTTTGCCCTCCTTAGGAATTATGGTACATTGTACAGTTGCCGACGTGGGTTTGGGTTTGGGGTTGGGGTTGGGGTTGGGTTGGGTGTCTAGTTCCGATGATTCTGTTCTGTTCTTCCCCAGAATATGGAAGGAAAAAAAAAAGTGTAGCACAGCTGCGAGCCACGTGACGTGGATTCGTATACAAAAAAAAAATGGTATACCTGTTATCTATATGTATAAATTACATTTTCTGCCCTTAAATTTTTCATCTGATTTCTTTTTGGTCCAAAATACTCTAAATTAATACCATTATTTTCTTTTTAGTTCAACGGTTAAAGGCGTCTGGTTCAATTTACGCACATCTTGACTAATTTTCACTCAAGTTCGGTCAAAAGCAAACAATCCACGATTGGACTCACTTTCGCGCACCTCGACTAGTTTTCTCTCTAATTCGATCAAAGACATGTCATTTATGTCGGGATCAGAGAATTCACAAGATCCTAAGAGGTTATCAAGATTCAAATTCAAAATATCTAGATTTACAGGTTATTCATGTTATCACTTGAACTACCCTTAAAATTAATTGATAATATCATGTGTTTTAAAATGTCATTGCATTTATCATATCTTTCAATGTACGATTTTTTGTTAGAATTATACTTTTTGAAACCTTTGTCTCTATCACGTGAACAGATACTTGTAGTGCTTGTCTTGATCTCTGCCAATTATTGACATTGAAATCGAAATCGAAATCAAAATCAAAATCTCTCAAGTTATATTCTAGGTAGAGCTAATATTTATTCAAGCAATATAACCATAAATAGAAAAAAATTCAAAAATACCAAACATGCTCCTATTTTCATTCTTATGTTCTAGAGTTTGGAGTGTACCAAAGGTTGAGAGGTCCGCGAGGAAGAAAGGGACAGTTGGTGGTGGGTTTTTGTGTGTGTGTGTGTGTGTGTTGGTTGGGTGGTGTAGGGAAAACAGTAAAGGAAGAAGTCAGGAACAGAGACCCACACAATTAGACATAGCCAGCTGGTGGTTCCCTACCTCACATGGCCTTTTTAGTCTCTCTGATCTGGTGGACCCCTCTTTCACTCCAAGGCTCCTAATGGCCAATGGGTTCCACATTTTCACAGAAATTGTGGCAGCTAAGCAGTAAGACTTTGTATTTAGCGGTGAGCACAATTCAATCATAAATGGTCCCACCTAGGTTGATCACTAAATTGTGTTAAACTTATTTTATGTTACCTCAAAGTCCAATTAGTATTATCGATCAAACGGGTCGTGTCATACTTTCAAAACGTACAAATTATGATATATTAAAGTTTATTTACCTTCCGTAATTAAAAAAAAAAAAAAAAAAAAACTTTCGTAAAGTTTATTTAATTATTTTATATTTAATTCATGTATAATGGTGTATCCTTGGCTTCAAGATGAATAACTAATGACCATTAATGACATCAAAGATTAAACATGTGTGTATTTTTTTGGTGGGTCCAATGTAGTGCTGTTTCTTTTGTTACCATTACATTGAAGTAATTGAACTTTGAGGAGCAAGTTGAGAACTAATATGGGAAGTTCCTCTTATCACATGGTTATTGTTCAAAGGTCCAAATCATTCGATCACGAGAAGCACTTCTTTTTTTTTTTTTTTTTTTTTTTTTTTTGGGGGGGGGGGGTTTATTACAATCTATAATTTCATTAAAGGCTACTATGTCCGTATTGAAGGTTATATTGTATTATTGGGACGTCAATTTTACTATATGGTACGAGTATGAATTTACTTATAAATATTGGGTCTTCTAAGATTTTATCATTTCTCTAATTTCTAAATAAACCGATTATATCTCTATATAATGCCAAAAAAAAAAAATCACAATTAAGAGAGAGAGAAGATTGAGATTTTAGCTTTAAAATTTGTTAAAGTACTCATTTGCATAGCGATATCTCTTCCGATATACTTTTACTCAATTTGATTTAAGGGTATATCATCTAACTTGGCTCAAAGTAAAATCAACGGCCTATAGGTGGCCTCCACCCAAAAGGTGCATACTCTTATGTTGAATGAAATTGAAAAAACNAGAGAGAAGATTGAGATTTTAGCTTTAAAATTTGTTAAAGTACTCATTTGCATAGCGATATCTCTTCCGATATACTTTTACTCAATTTGATTCAAGGGTATATCATCTAAATTGGCTCAAAGTAAAATCAACGGCCTATAAGTGGCCTCCACCCAAAAGGTGCATGCTCTTATGTTGAATGAAATTGAAAAAACAGTATGCTGGAGACAGGTTTCAATATTATAATTTTCTCCAATGCACATTTTCTCAATCTAGTAATAAATTGAGAAAATGTGAATTAAAATGTTAATCACTTTACACAATTGTCCCACTCCATCAATACCAGGGAATGCTTAACCAATGAGAAAAATCTAAAAGTAAATGTATTCAAAAAGGTCTCACTCTAGATTTTCATTATAAACGAAATTGTATTTTTNCCAATGCACATTTTCTCAATCTAGTAATAAATTGAGAAAATGTGAATTAAAATGTTAATCACTTTACACAATTGTCCCACTCCATCAATACCAGGGAATGCTTAACCAATGAGAAAAATCTAAAAGTAAATGTATTCAGAAAGGTCTCACTCTAGATTTTCATTATAAACGAAATTGTATTTTTTTTTTCTAATAAAGTTTACTTCAACAATCTTGGATACCGGTCACCACAGCCCGAGCGAGTTTAGAATATGTCCCCTCAGCGGCGGCTCATCCTATAGACCACTAAAGCCATTGCCTAAGGCTGCGAAATTGAAAGAAGTATTCAATACATTTTAACAATTGAATTAATAGAGAGTGCTAACNCCACAGCCCGAGCGAGTTTAGAATATGTCCCCTCAGCGGCGGCTCATCCTATAGACCACTAAAGCCATTGCCTAAGGCTGCGAAATTGAAAGAAGTATTCAATACATTTTAACAATTGAATTAACAGAGAGTGCTAATNGCCCGAGCGAGTTTAGAATATGTCCCCTCAGCGGCGGCTCATCCTATAGACCACTAAAGCCATTGCCTAAGGCTGCGAAATTGAAAGAAGTATTCAATACATTTTAACAATTGAATTAATAGAGAGTGCTAATTTTAAATAAAATACATTATTTATCTAATGTATTTAGACCTCAAATCAAGTACAAGTAGTATAATTGTAACAATAGACCTTTGATTCAATGATACTGCTTTTGCCTTTTTGAAATCAATAGTTTNATGTATTTAGACCTCAAATCAAGTACAAGTAGTATAATTGTAACAATAGACCTTTGACTCAATGATACTGCTTTTGCCTTTTTGAAGTCAATAGTTCAAGCACCTTCCCCCTCTCCATCCTCTTCACCAAAAAAAAAATGTTTTTTAAAAAAAAATAGTATTATCGTAAAATTTTTAGAACCTCTTTTAAAAAAAATTAGGGCCCCAGAGTTCAACATAATTTTCTTATCTCACCCAATATTTATATTATATGTATTATCATTTTAGAGTCTTATTATTAAAATCAATTGTTTATCGTATAATACGTATGAATAATGATTTTATATTTATATAAGTTAAATTTAAGTCTATTTATTGATCAATTTGTTTATAATGAATAGAATAATTATAAAATAGAATAAGTATAAGTAATATACTATTTGAAGTTAATCAACTATAGTTTTCTTACAAGTTAAACTAATTTTCAATTATATTTTTCTTTATCTTCAATAAATAGCATGTATTATTTGCATTTGATCTCTGAATTTGACTACGGTTAACACAATTTTTATGTGTAAAATTTAAATTTTAATTGGTATGTTATATCTCAAAAAAAAAAAAGGCAAAACAAATAATTTTTAAATAAACATATTTTGATAACTGTATAATAGTAATATTATTATTGAATAAATATTACTAGAGCTCCACGTAACATTTTTGCCTAGAACCCCTAGTTGGGTTGGATCACTCTTGTGTCTCCCAAGAAAAAGGATGACTGACTTTTAGGAAATATATGAGAAATATTCAACTCAAGACTTCCGAATTATAATAAACGAAATTGTATTCAAATTGAAGTCTTGGCTCTTTTGTGGTGAACCCACCCTCGGATTCTTGATACCTTCTTCTCTTTGTTGTGGTGAACTGCAAGCTAAGCAAACTACCCCCCACACACCAAAAAACTCTGTTCTGCGAGAAAGAGAGATAAAGCTGACGGAACTCATCTTCCCCAAGCTTTCCTTTTCTCGACCTAACTCTCTCTTCATTGGATTCACCCAATCCTACCGTTAGCTTCGACGCAAACCAACCACCAACACCCCACCCCACCCCCAAGGAAAGGCCCCACTTTATTTTTTCTTGGACTTGTTCGTCTGCACAATATAGTTTTGTTCACATTTAGTACCTTATTTGGTTTTTCTATGTTTTGACCAATCTTACCAACCTATGGAAAGGCTTTAAAATAAGATTCTTGTAGTGTACCTAGAAATAATGAGTTTTTGAATACATATTGATGGGACTCTTCTGAAAAGCCCTAAGATGATGACACGTGTCCTCGGGATATTTTGGAACAGTGTTGCCCGGATGTAAGCACCATCGGCGAAGAGCGCCCTTTACCCCGAGGTACCTCTCATGTAGGATCACACATTCGGTATATTATACAAACAAACACGTGTCCTCGGTCAGACGTGTACCTCGGGGACACACCACCCCTTGGTCCCGAGGTGAGCCTTTCCTCGGCGCCGAGGGTCACTCCATCCTGGACGCTTCCTCTACTCCCGGATAAAGCTACT